AGGTAAGTTCATTTATAGGACAGAAAATATTTACCTGGAGATTTGCCACTGTTGATGACATGAATTTCTTTACAATACACTTTACCATTGGCAACCAATTTGCCAAAATTGACTTCTGATTCAATTTCCAATTGACAGGATGGAATTCGTCTAGGTGAAGGGAAAAGAGGGCATTTAGTTAATTTTTAACAATCAGAACCTAAAAGCTAACCCTATTCCCATTGCCAGCTCTACATAAGCCTATATTTTTTTGCCTTATCTTGAAAAAAGTGGAATTTGACAAAGTAAAGTTGTTTGTATGATGCCAAATCTGATGAAATAAAAGAAGTCATTGATGTTTTAAAATATTATTTTGTGTCTAAGACAAAGTCTAAGGTATAAAATGGTATGTTTATTCTCCATATATGTCTCTAATTTAAAGAGTTTCCTGTAGTATATCTGTAACATATGTTTTCACACAAGTTTCAAAAATAAATTATCATTCTATATATACATCTTATAAGGATACTTAAATTTGATATTTGGATAGTAATGCAAAGCACTATTAAGTATGTTATTATGACCGATGCACAAACTAGTCCTGAAAGACAAATAAATATTATGGCATCTATAACTGAAAGGTTGACAGTTCAACCCCACTAACTGCTCCATGGCAGAAAAATATGGCATCTGCTTCCATAAAGATTTATAGCTTTGGAATCTCTATGGGACAGTTGTACTTTGTCCTATAGGGTCACCATGAGTCACAGTCAACTTGATGGCAGTGGTTTTGTTTGTTTGTTCTATGATATACATGAAAATATAAGGCTCAAAAGGCTTAAACTCTCCTGTTCACGATTTCTCTTCTGTCACTTTATAAAATAGAAAGGTGGCTAGATCTTACCTTTTTTTTAACCTAAGGAAATATCTAGATATAATATTGGAGATCTTAACTAATTTTGTTAGCCTTCAAGTACACTATATTACAAACTTAAAAATGGTAACAAGAGCAGCAATAATAATCCCAGTAATAGTGATATTTATTCAATCCTTAGCTTATATGCCAGGCACATGTATTAAGCCACTTACTCCATATTGGGTACAGTCTTCCAAATAAAAATAAATAAAAGCTTACATATATACATATGTATGTTGTTGTTGTTATGTGCTGTCGAGTCAGCCCTGACTCATAGCGACCCCTCCTTGGGTTTCCGAGGCAGTATCACTACGGAAGT